AATTTTGGACTTTCTCCAGGCCCATTCAGTAGACAGCATAGGGGGAGTTCTGATCAATAGCAAAGGACATCTTTCCTGGTGTCTGAGGGCTGAAGTGAATTTTACTGACGGACCACTGCATTTAGGCACTGGCAAAAAGTGAACATGCAGTACACACGTAGAATGGTCAGCTCTGAGCTAGTGGTAGGAATCGGGAGGTGTTGGGGTATTTATGTGATGAAATGCTTGTCCAGTAGCAGAATCCCTTGTCTCACTTGGATAAACATCTGGCACTGTTTTCTTTTTCTTTTCTTTTTTTTTTTTTTTTTTTTTGAGATGCATATCTCTTGTTCCCAAATCATATGCATATTTAATTAAAATAATACTGATCCATGTTAATTTTGGTTTAATTGGTGAATTGTATAAACAGAAGACAGAACTGAATATATTCATTTTTTTTTTTTTTGACTGTACAAAATTGAATTATTATTATCTTGAAAGGGTAATCGGCCGTTGGCATTAGGTAAAATGACAACATGAGCCATTCTAAAGTTATACCAAGATACTGGAAAATAGTTAGTGCTTGTGCTCATGCTGTAATAAACTGTAGTTTTGTAAGCAGAGTATGTTCTTTTCTTACCACAAATTGATAACTATTCTCTGTTTTCAAACCACTGACTTTACCCAGTGCTTGTGATTTGTCCCATACGGTCATCATGTGCTAAAGGTGGAAAGTGAGCTAGAAAGATAAGAGCATTTGGGAATTAAAATGTCTGAATTTTGTTTTCAGTTGAACATCAGACATTTGGAATAACCTTTTCCCCAAAAAACACCCCCAAATGCCATATCACGGCTGTTAAACATCAAAACAGTGTGGGGAAATGCTTTCAGGGTTTGCAGGAAATGTACCAAGTGCAAATACAAGTGTATTACAGATTGATATTTATTTTTACATGTGCTTCTGTCTTGGATGTTACAAAGGTGGTTTGCATGGATGATGGTTGTACAGTCACATGAATCTGCTTTTTTGTTAAAGTGAAGCTGGGTCGTATTGCTGTCGGCCTCAGAAAGCCGCTGCTTCTGGACAGATACTAGTGACTCTTCTGATGTGAGCCTGTGTTGCAAGAGCTGCTTAGTATTTTGGTGTTTGATCTGTCCTTACTTCCTTAGTTTTTCAATGTAATACTCTAGTTCTATTGTAGACCTACAATCAAAGGTGTCAGGGGTATTGTGTGTGCTTTTCCACTGGGGCCACTAAGTCTGACTGTCTGAAACAAAGTAAGAGGTGAAAGGGATGAGATGAAAAATGTCTAGGTTTCTCATTAAGGCTTGCTGGGGTACAATACTTCTTGGTGTTTCCTGTGAGGAGTCTCAATTTGGAGGTACTGAAGCTGGCTGGAAAAGGGTGTTTCATCTCTGCTATCTTTTGTCATACTGAGGCTAAAATCAGTATTTCCCAGAGCTGTTTAGTGAACTCCTTTATATGCTGTTTGGTTGGAAAGTCAACTCTTGCTGTCCAAACAATAAAACCAGGGATAACCCAAACTGTATATGGTCTTCTGAACAGTACATCTGTGTAGTGCAACAAGGGGCAAAGCAGACTTGGCGCCTCTGGATGCTGCCCTGATACAAATACACATTATTTGTATACTTTGAAAAACAGTGAGATGCTTTACTCTTCAAGATCAAAGCTGTCAAAGGTACAAGGTGACTTTTACCCCTACAGTCCCTCAGGTTCAACTGGTCTGTAATGGAATAGAACCGAAACTCTTACCAGGCTTGTTTTTTTCAAATGGTTGGAGTCCTTACAGTGTCTCTTGTGGGTGGGTTTGTAAAAGCTGTTTATTGAAAGAAGGAAACTGGGAGAAATACCTAGGAAGCTTAATGCTCTGTAACATTCTGGCGAAGAAACAAAGTAATTCTTGGTGCAGCTAATTAGAGAGTCCCTGCTTACACTTCTAAGCACTGAAGTTTTTAACAAGTTCAGTTAGGAGCTTTTTTTCCATGAACTTAAAGGAAAGTCTGTAAAGCGGACTGGCTTCTCATTTTAGCTCTGGAGAAGTTGGCCAGGTCGATGCAGCGCCACATTGGGATGAACCACCTGATTTGGCCTCAAATTCAGGGTTTGCTTTTGGGGTTGAGGAGACCCCTAAGCAAATTGCAGTTCTGAAAAGTGTCCTTGGAGCAGGTCTCTTGGTACGAAGTACTTCAAATCTCAAATCAGTACTGCCAAGGACAAATTTTTTTATTTCTAATACTTCGGTAGTCTTGATTTTGTTGGGAAGGCAGGGAACAAACCTCATTAACAGTAATATTGATACTCTGGCCTTGTGAGCAAGGCCAAATAAAAAAAATACACACATACACACACCCCCACAAAAAAAAGTGGAGAAGTAGGGGATTAACTTTTAAATGAGAATTGTTGCAGTAAAGCAGATATTGCCTATTTATGTGTGCTGAGTTAGAATGCTAATCATAGAATAATTGGGCAAATAAAATGCAGAGCTGCTATTAGAATTACACTCTCAACTTGTTTACAAAAAAAAAAAAAAAAGGGTTTCTTTCTTTTCTTGGCTTCCTTCCATTTATTTCTTAGAGTTATCAAAGAGGAGGGTGAATTTTCCATGCAGCTTTAGCCTTCTTACATCTATGCTCTTCTCTTTCCCTTTGAGCAAACATTCGACTCTCCTTTTGTTTTGTTCTGTTTCTCTGTTTTTTACTGAAATGTGTAAATCTGCATCTCACCTTCTCTTATTTTGGGGAAGGGCTAGATCTACTGTGTGTTGCTTGGCAAATAATTGGCACCCTTAGCAGTAATGTGCTTTAATTTGTTCATTTGTTTCATGGAGCAATTGGATGCATAAAAGCAAACAATTTGTAAGAACCTAAAAGGTAAAATAAGAGATGAGTAACAATTAACGTGGGTTTTTCAGGAGCAAATCATGCCAAGTCGACCTACTTTTCTGGATCTTACAGGTATAGAAGAAGTAGTAGTAGATGTGCGTATCTTGACTTTGAAGTTTTCAAACTAATTTTCTCAGGAGAAGCCTAAGAAAACAGTGGACTACTGGAAATCCCCTGAAAGGCATACAGAATGGCTTGGTTATTTTGTTCGAGTGTAACAAAAGGCTCAAGGTAAAATTAGGATGACGTATTTAATCGTTTTTTGCAGATTCTTTAAGCAGTCTCACAGGATCACTGCTTTTCACCAGATTGCTAGATAAACTTCATGAAGCATCATGAAATGGATTTCCTTCTGGTGGTGACTCTCTGCTTGAAGGATGTGACAAGCGGGCAAAAGTGTGTTAAGTAACCTTGGATGCAGTTCAGTCAGGACAAATGCAGAATATTAGGCTTTGATAAGAGCTATCAGGTGTCTAAGTGGAAAGTGAACAAGGATTGGATAGGCAGCAGCTCTGCAGAGGAGTTTGGTACAGAAACTGATCCTGAATCAACCAGGTTGCAGGATTGCACAGGCTGCAAACATTGTGCAGGGCTGTACAAACAAGCGTGGTGTAAGTGGGACAGGAGAAGTTGCCAGCATGCTGGGTGAGAGCTGAGGTAAGCTTCCTCTGCAGGGCCTAGTTTTGGGTGCCGTACCTGCAGGATTTTTAGCAGTGAGGGGAGAAGTCCCCCAAAGAGAAATAACTTGTCCATCATAGTAACTTCTTTTTCAAGAACCCCTCACATATTTTAAGGAGGTAGCGGGGGGGAAAGAGGACAGGGGGTAGCTGTGCTGTTTTCCCTGCCTTCTGGGAGCGGAACAAGGAGCGATTGGCCTAAACTGCACTAAAAGTGATCTGAGCTACCTGTTAGGAAAAACCTTTCTAAATGCACGAGTAGTGAAGGACTGGAAGAGACTCCCTGGGGAAGTTGTGGAAAGGAGGTTTCTTAAACAGCAGCTGTGACGAGCATCTCTTGAGTGCAGTTTCTGTGGAGTTGCAAAGTGACTGCTGTGGAACAGCAGATTCTGTTTTTTTCTTGCAGCCCCGTTCAATTCTGTAACCTGAGCCATCGAGGGCAGTAAATGCCCACTGTGTGCTTGCAAAATGCCTAAAACTTTGGTGCCGTTACAAACAAAATCAGACTTTGAACAAGGGGGAAACGCTGTTGGCGGTAACAGTGGTGCTAAGAGTAGGAAATAACGGCGTCGCCTTCTGATGGGAAAGCGGCTGAGAAAAGGTGGATGTGTGGTTGGCGGGTGGACTGCTGAAACCCACGGCCGCTGCCTCCGCACCGAAGCACGCTCCACCTGTGCAGCGCCCACCGCGATCTTGCGTCCTGAGCGCGTTGCCCTCTCTGCGTTCTGGTTCTTGTCAAAATGCCAGCTAGGTGTGTGCCATCGCTGTCCGCGTCCCCTTTCCTCCCCCTGCCCCAGTGGGTGCTGCTGTTCTTTGCAAGGAGGTCTGGGCATGGGAGAAGGGAGGAGCAGGCCTGCGCGGTACGATGCAGACTAGATTTTGCTTCAGGTGCACACAGCCAGCTTTGACAAAAGTTTTGCTTCCTAGTGCATGCAAGCTGAAGCTTTACACATAGATGGGTTTGCACAAAACTTTGTCAGTGCTTCGGGTTTTTATTGCCAGATATACGCCTGTTAAGGACAGAGTGCTGCTCTGCAGGATATACTGACAATTTGGTTTCGTCAGTTGCAGGAAAATACAGGGAAACACTTCGTTTTGGTAATACAAACAACATTGTTTAATACCACTTACGTTAATCAGATGTAGAAATAAGTACTTGTTTTCATCATGCTTCGCTTTTTTTTGCTGAGCTGTATGGTTCTGGAAAGGGAATATTTTTGTTAGCAATAATTTAGATGGAAAATTGCCACCATTTAATATATTTCAGTTAAAAATACACTCAGTGTTTTCTTTGCATTTTGTTGGGGTCTTTTATTTTTCTCTATAATACTGAAATACACGTGCTGATTTAAAACTTTACCTTACCCTCTTCTGTTTCAGTCTTGCTGGTCATCTTGTTTATGCATTATTTTGATTATTTGTGTATCTTTTGCTTCCCAGGAGACAAAGATGGCAGCAAAGTGACTACAGTAGTGGCAACTCCTGGACAAGGACCTGACCGACCACAAGAAGTTAGCTACACAGACACCAAGGTGATTGGAAATGGATCTTTTGGTGTTGTGTATCAAGCCAAACTCTGTGATTCAGGAGAGCTTGTGGCCATTAAGAAAGTCCTGCAAGACAAAAGATTTAAGGTGAGCCTATGCAAAAGTTCAGAATATTTTATGAATGTTATCTCATTTTCCATGTCTTTGATGGCAATGCTTTTGGTTATTTTTTGCGCTTTTTTTTTTTTTTTTTTTTAATTCAATTTCATTGGAGCACATAAATGCCCATAAAAATTTCCAGAATGAAAGATTAAACAGATGGTTTATGGTAAAGGGGTATAGTTTAACTTGAAAATCTGTGAGTCACTGTTAGGATGATTTGGATTAGTACAAAACAGGAAGCTAAAAATCCTGATTCGCTATTGCGGTGATGTTTCCAGACTAGATTTTTCAGACAATGAGTTGTGGAAACAAGGGAAAAGCTTGTCTTATGCTTACTTTTTTGTAGCGTAGACTCTTCTCCAGTCATTAGTAATTAAGTTGCCGGAAGGAACAGAAGCCTTTGGGCTTTGTTCTTGGTTGCTGCACCTACAAAGTGGAAGGCTGTATTTGAGTAAATTGGAAAGTCCCCAGGCCAAGCAAGAAGATAACAAATACTGAGCCCAGGGCTGTTTGAACTGAAGATGAGTTACTTCTCTTCATTATCTGATTTATAAATGTAATCTATTCCGATGGTTTTAATAGACTAGTGATTCTTTATTCTAAACAAGTAGCCTTCCAAAAAGCTATATTTTTATCTGGTGATATTTAAACCAAATGAAAGTTAAAGACCATCAGCAGCCTCATCACTGCTGTTAGTCCTCTGCTTGGTACTTGGTGAGCTTGACTGCTTTCTCTTATAGTCATGTGGCCTGCAGCTAAACTTGTGCAAGCAGTGAGTGATAGCAAAGGTACTGGTTTTAGCATCTGAAATCAATGGTGTGGATTTTAGTATCTGAAGGCCACCGCATTCATCACTATAGAAGCATAAGGACAGTAGATGAAGTGCCACAGATAATCTTGTTGGCATGGTCTAGATATAAAAACATCTGAGCTTAAAAATAGGTAGTTGAAGCATATGCGTTTAAGGAAAATCAACAATTTGAAACTTTTTTTTTTTTTTACAATTTGAGAATTACTGTTAGTTTTAGAAATACTTTAAAGGCTGTTGGATGATGTTTTTATCATCTCAGTTTCCTCATCTTTCCAGTAAGACTTAATGCACAGCTAGCTTCACTGGTAATGTTTATTCTTTGTGTCATGTTTTGGTAGCAAAAACATTCTTTTGAAGTGTTTTGAAGGAACTGGTGTATGCTTCTTCCTTGAGACTTTAAATTGATGCTGTCATCACTACAGGCATCAGCATATCAGAGATACGTTAGATGAAGAATGGAAAAGGAAGGATACATTTAAATTAATGTAGGCATGCAGCATTGTTTAACTTCTAATTGAGAAAGGAGTGTAAAGTTCTTACATTGTTCTTACATCTGAGTTATTTCTGGACTGTATTATGTGTCAAAGGCAATTAGTCCTGGGGATGCATACAGTATGATGTAAGAGTGGATTGCTTGGAAGAATGGAAAAGATAGAGGAATAACAAAAACTCTAAACCTAGTTACGTTTAAAGAGCTTTTTGATCTCTTCCCATTGCGCAGTTTTAAGGGGAAGGCCAGGGCATTTTCCTTACCATGTCAGGCTTGGTGAATGTCAGCTAGTGCTTTGGACCAAAGTCTTTCATTTCTGTAGTCTCATGACTTTGAGGTTGTGTAGGGTGTCAAAATGAAAACTTGACGGAGTGTTTTAGTTCCTACCCATCAGATACTAATTCTTTGTGATGTCCTCATGTTTTTTTTTTTTTAATAAATCTCTACTGGGCATCTAGAATAAAATATAGTTCTTCGGTTGTTTTTGCTTCAGCAGTTGATTCCATGTCTTTTTGTTACCTGATTTTATATCTTTTTATTTTGGAGTGACATGATTTGAATAGCAGCCCTCTTGTTTGTGGAAAAAAGCTAAACTAAAAAGCTAAGTAGGGTTCTTCCAGTTCGGACTCTGAACTAACTGCCTATATAGGATGACATAAGATGAGAACATCCAGTACCTGGAGGCTTTAATACCCCTAAACTAGGTGGAATTAATGGTAAGTGCATGTGTAGATGTACAGATAGACAGCATTAATTTAAAAATACATTTTTTTAACTTTGTAATTTGCCAGGGTCACAACTGCAGTAGTCTGCAAGTTACGCATTTTTTCATGTTCTTATCCCAAACTTGTGGCTCAACTGCACAACACCCTCTACCTTTGCTTTCAGCTCACTAGTTTTTGCAGTCATTCCTCAGTTTAGTCAGTCCTCCCTTTCTTTTCACATTCTTATCTGGAAGTGTATGTTCTGTTGGCCGGAGGTGTAAATTTGTGCAGGCTGAATGAAAGCCTCTGCCTGGATGGAGTTGGAAGCTGGAGATATGTATCTTATAGCAAGAATAACATATAATTACTTCAGAGTATGCTACTCTTTGAGTATCTGATCCGGGTCATAAATGCTGGACTAGATACTTTACCAGTTAAACAGGGAATTTTGAATGTCTGTTGGCTGTACCGTTTGATTGCAGCATAGGAGTGGACCAGCTCCTCTGTTCACAGTGCTGAGCTGTGGCGTGCAGCTCAGCTGGGCTGCTGCCACCCCCACACGGCTGCCTGATCCAGATCCAAGCCCTGGTGAGTGGAGTTCCTTAAGAAATCTGCTCCTTCTTCGCTCTCAATGTACACCCCTGCTTCAGCAATGATGAGGAAAGCTGCTGTTGTAGACAGCCAAAGTGGCAGTAGTTTGACTTACATCAACTTTATCAGCTTCCTAGGGAAGAGAAGGAGCACTTTAGACATACCGATCTGCACTGATCCCAGTGGTGGTGAAGGAAGAAGAGGAAAGTAATGCATGGAAGTTACTTCCTGAAGTGTAGATCATCAACGATATTTTCATCCGTGTGCTTCCAGCTGTTGCTTGTTTATATACTGAATGAGTTATCTTGGTACATGCAGTAGAATTCCTTTGTCGTGATTTAGGTCTTTAAAAAAAAAAAAAAAAGGGCGTTTAGAAAAGTCAGCTGGAAGTCTTGAAACTTAAAGGGCATAATTCAGAAACTTTAGGAAGTCCCAAGAGAGTGTAACTTCTAGGCTGCTTATGCATTTTCTGAATGTGGAGGGAGTTTATTGTGAAGATCTGGAAAATGCATCACAGTTACCAGTTTTTAGATTTCTGTCAAGAAGTTGGGATACTTTTATCTGGGTTTAAGGCTAGCTTGAAAGCTGGAATTACCAGAGGGGGCTTGTCTTTTATTCTTTTTTTCCATTGACATTGCTATGACAGGTTTCTCGGCAGCTGCCACTGAAGTGGAAGCAGAATTGGTCTATGCCAGAATGAAGTGAGCATAAAATCTTTGCTAAAGAGTTGAATATTACCGTTTCTGTGGTGGTAAAGATAGTTTGCAATGTTCCTACTTCTTTCTACTCCCTTATTGTAGTTTAGTGGTTCTTCAGCTAGGTAGTGTGGTTCCTGCACGGCTGTGTTTTAAACAGGGTCTCTGAAGTGCTCTGGGTTTTAAAATGAGTATGTCTAGAGTTCAGTGTAACCTAGAGCGATACTACTGGTACAGTAGGAGTAGAAACAAATGGCTGAGTGGCATAATTTAAAAATATAGAAATTTATACTTAATTTTGGTTTGTAGTTCTTCTGCCTTCTTTAAGCTAGATCTCCATATTAAGTGTAAGTAATTTAAGTAATGTAGTTTTGGACAATTAAATGATACTTAGGTGGGTAGTTCACAAACTACATGGTATTTATTGCTCATCTGTGGGACTATTGAATTTGTCTCTAGTTAGTACAGAGGGTTATATTTTCATTGTTTTTCAGTTAAAAGTTTAACAAGGGTAAGAGAAGAGATGTTTCTCTTCAGAAAATGATGTAAGACAGCTATTCACAAGCTTTTGGGACCAAAATCCATTCAGATGGCAAAATTTCCTAAAGACTATATCCCAACTTTCACAGATCTATACTGTGTTTCTGCTTCTGTCCCACAGATGCATAAGAATAGGTCCTCATGCAAAGCACTGAAAGACATGTACAGTTAAATTATTTATAATAATTTCTGTTATTTTTATCCATGTCAGTGCAGGCCCTTAACTGACACAGCCTAATTGTCATACTTGAAAAGAAAAAACTGGTAGCGTACATTTTCTTGCACTGATTTTGTTGGCATGTTCATTGGAATATTCTTCAGATTAAGAGTCAGTCGTATTGCTGTCTGATCCTGCAAAACACCAATAGTAAGCAAGCAGATATGTTAGCACAGGTAGGAAATTCTTAGTCTAGTTTTTGTTATTTATGTCATTCCATGCCCATTCTTAAGAAATCCTATTGGAATGAATGTGTGAATTTCTATAAGTATTTCTCAGCTGACTGAAAATAAATATTTAAATTCTTCATACCTGAATTGCAGCACTTAATGTTTCTGCTTTAGTGCTAGGTTGTTGCCATCTAAATGATGAGGAGAGTTCTTAATAATCCTACACCTTTTCAGACAATCTAGGTTGGGCATCACATATCTTGGTAATGGCTCACATAGACCTGAAGTGTGCAGGAAGAGAAAACCAAATTCTGTAACAAGAACCATTCATGCTATCCAGTCTGTCAAATTATTCAGGGACTGCCTATGTTCAGCAATCCAACTGTGGGTACCCATGGCTTAGTTACCTGAATTAATTAAGTAGGCAGATCTTCTGGAGTGTGAGAGGGTGTCATGCTAGGGCCCCAATGGTCCATAAATATGAAGCCCTGCGTTGATAAAACTGAGACCACTGAATAGGAGGCAGTGCTTTCCTATTTTTAGCTATGGGAGGAATATATGTTGTGACCATGTGCATCATCTTTTTTTTTTTTTTTTTTTAATATGTAAAATCCCAGTGTTAATTTGAGCCTTAAAACCCAATAAAGCAGCAGGATGGAAAAATATGTCTATGTTGAGGTTCTGGTTTCTCTTTGCTGGGTGTGTGTCCTTTTGTGAGCTGTTTGAAATGCTTCTGAAAGAGCAGCAGCTTTCCTTCAGTTCCTGCC